TTTTTCCATTTTTATAATTTTTCAAAGATGTCTCAAAGACTTCTTCTACTCTTTGTTTCGCACCTTTATGCCAATTTTGCTGGTTGTTCATTCCTACTTGCTAAGAAATACCGGTTTATGTGGATCTTGTAAAATTCGTTCAAATTTTCCGGGCAAACGCCTGCATTGGAACAAACATTGAATCCGTATTGGAGCATGTTTTTGAACGGGACAGAGTATGTATGGAATTAAATAAGGCAAGTACACCACATGCGTGAACATCCCCGCTAGGAAGGAGAGTGGAGCTTCAACATTCTTCTTGTTTAGAGAGCGGTCAGAATTGATAATGAACTCCAGGCTCTACCTCAGACTTGATACGTTTTCCCCTTTGCTTTCCCCAGCTTTCCCTCTGAAGATCTGCTCCGAGATTTGGCGATACCTTCCCGGTCTTCAACTGCATTACTGGGCTGGCCAAACAAGACTGCTTAGTGAAAGTTCAAAAGACCGTCTCCCCATAACTTCAAGTGGGACGACAGGGCAACTACGCAAGTTATTACAAATCACTGTTCCTCTTAGGAAAGGAGCCCTAAACAGCAACAAGATATCGTTAGAAAGCAGGCAGTGGTGAAAGAAAAAAGAAAGGTAAAGGTTGCATAAGGGTGTATGGTAAAGCCTTGTTGAAATAGGCGCTATTTGTGAATGTGTAAAATTTACCTGATTGAGACAATGGAGATAAAAAATGAGGGAATCTGATGTTTATCGCGATAAAAAAGAGAATATGTTGCACCAATATGTTATCTTGCAGCTCTTCAAAACTGCAACAGCAAAAAAGTCGAAAAAAGGGCAAATTGGAAGCAGTGATGAACTGGATGAATTGGTGGAAAATGGCGTGAATGGGATGGGACATTCGAAGAAGGTCACGATTTTGACATCAAAAAGGAGTAGCGCCTTGCATGATAGCTGTGATATGTTGATCGAGAGCGTAAGGACCTACATTATAAAAATTTGCTCAAAATTAACATTACATTAATTTTTCTAGACCATCTCGCTATCGGCTATGGCCAAAATGCGAGCATTCTACACTGCTCCGATCACTAAATTCTGGTCTTGGTGCATCGCATTCATGATCTTTCTGATGTTTTCCTCATACGTTCTGCTTATCGAGACTCCAGTCAATCCTACTAATATTGAATACGCCACTTTAGCCTATATTCTAGTCTATACCGTGGAACATCTTCGAAAGGTATGTTGAAATATTGTTTTGGGTCAATCCTCTCCAGCCAAATTTTTCAGCTTCTCGATCAAGAAACTCCTAAACTCAGAGAGAAATGTCGAGTTTTCTATACAAAGTGAGTTTTCTCCGTCAGATTGAAAAACGTGCTTTTAATTTTGCCATTGTAAAATTTTAGGTATTATAATCTTCTCACGGCTACAGCTTTGCTTTTCTTTCTCGTCGGATTTGGATTTCGTATGCAGCCACACCTTCGTCACTCATATGGAAGAGTTATCCTCTCTTGCAGCAATGTGCTATGGTACATGAAGGTACGTTCATACATTGCTCATAAATTCCGTTTAAAACAAGGGAAAACTTAAATGCAAACGGGGCATGACGCCATAAAAAAGATCAATTACATGTGTAGTTGCGAGTTGAAATAAACAATCTTCCCGTTCCTATCACCATATTATATAAACTCAATAGGGTGCTTGTGCCTTGGACCACGAAGAAGCGAGGAAGTGGGAGAAGGTACCTTATTGGAAGGTGTTTGAAAAGATGCAGTCACATCCATAAACAACAGTTTCCGGTCTTTGCTATTTCCATACAGGATGAAACTTGACTCCTTTTACTACTCACCGGCAGCTGCAGGAGCTAAGCTAAACTATGCCCTACCCAGTGCTCCCATTTGGCCTTTTGCGCCTCCACCTTCC